CAGGGGGTTGCCCAGTGGCCTTTGTTTTGCTGGGTGATTGCAGATAGGTATTATTCCTTAGAGAAGTCTGCTTCTTCCTAACTAATTATGGGGTGGTGACATCCCCCCCCAGTTTCAGCCAACAAAAATGCTGCTCCCCCCAAAGCACCAACAGCCATTTTTGGACCAAGACACCACTCCAAGTGACAAAACCTGGACTGCAAAACCTGTGTCCTGCTCCTTGACTGCACCACCCCGGAAAAGGCACTTTGCCTGTGCATGTCTCTGTCTCTCCACAAACTCTTTGCACCAGGTGCTGAGGCAGGCAAGTTTTCTCCCTACATGTTTGTACAAAGTTGCTGCCGGAAATAATGCATTTCAGGCCTTCAAGCAAACAGCCACTAGCCTCAGATCATACTCCTCCTTGGTTCTACCACAGCAGGATCAAGGTGACCCAACCATATTTGCTGTTACAAGTTCATACCAACAAGTTTCTTGTCACTCGGTAGGAAATTTGATGCAAACATGGCTGAGTCACATTCTGCTCCAAGCAGCTAAAAAATGTAGTGTGAAGAGAAGTGCCTGCCTCACTGCAGAGCTCCCTGCAGTGCTTAAGGCACAATGAGGAGGTTTAGAAGCACAAGAACTACTTGACAACTGGATGACTGCTTTTCTGCTGGTGACCAACAACCAAATAAAACAGCTTTACATGGACCCAAAGGCAATCAAAGGCCAAGTGGACTCAGAGCATCAGTCAGGCAGAAACAACAGCAAAGACACCTTTCTCAGTCAATAAATACATGGGATCTGGAATTGGAAAACAGCTGATGCTGTTTATTCACACTACCTCATGCACCAAACAACCCTCAACCCAACTCCAATTAATCCCCTTTCCCTGCTTCCTTCTACTGCTTAGCTTGGTCTCTCCTGCTCTAAATGATTAACACCTGAAATCCATACACATTTATGCCTTCCAGTGAGTTTATTTTAATCTTGGCTGTACCTAACTACACCAAAGCCTGTGGCTCCACAAAGCCACTTCTGTCTGGGTTCAATTTAAATGAAGATACAAGAGAGCTAATTAAGTCTGCTATCTGAGATATCAGAAGCAATGTAAGCACATGAATAGGGAACACTCCTTCCAGACTCATTTTCCACAGAGAAAGGCACAGGCACCCTGCTACAATGTGCAGAGCAGATGTCCTTTGAGGCACACAGCCTTTCACAACAGTCACCTAGGATCCTCTGGGCTGCATGAAGGACAGTAGTGTTGTGATTAGAATTAATTTGGGCAATATAAGCCAACCAACCATTTTTCTTAAGCCAGCCTGGAAGCCACGCCAGCAGAACACAGCTCAGGGGTCTCAGTCATTTTGAGAATTACTTTGTCACCACTGGAAAATGTCTCCCCCGGCAATCTTTGGTCATTGGAGGATACTAATAGATGTTGATATTCACGGATGACCTCCTTTGAGTACTCAACTAACCACTGAAAAACACTACCCAGGCAACCCGAGCCAGCGTAGGCCCCTGGCTAGTGGGCCTGTCCCCACGGCCCAGCCCACGTGGGACCGATGAAGAAGGAGCCCACGCACTCTGTGTGGGCTGCAATTCTGGTAGGAAAGTCAGGGCATTTAGTACTTCACCTTTATTTTCTGTCTGTGCCAAGCTGCAAGTAATTTACTCCACTCCACCGAGCTACAGGAAGAGTTATAACCTGGTTTAGCTCCACTGGCAATGGGTACATATCCGAGTATCCAAACCAATCCTTTAATGTCCTTGTCTGTATTGAATGACTCCATACCCAGGCTTGAAGTAAATCAGATTTCAACTAGAGAAGGGACAATTAGAAGTTATCAAGGTTCTGACCCTCATGCCACAATTTGTTTTGTTTTTTTCCCCCCTCATTAATCCGAGAGAGAGATGTGAGTACAGGCACAGCACAACAACTCAACACGGGCAGCAGAAACTGCAGGCTGCTGTTGTACCCTTGAACCTTTCTTTCTCCTTCTGGAACTGATATCTGATTGTTAGATGGAAAACAGAAAACCCTCATGCTACCCACAGCTCCAAAGCCTGCAAGTATCTCTGAGACCATTCCCTAGAGTCAGCAGAACTGGCTCCCATCAGGCAGAATACTCTGGGGTAGCAGCAGTTTCCACCTGACTCCACTTTTACGCCTGGAAGGGTAACAGGGCCAAGATGTCCTCACACCCTTCCCGAGTTCAGTGCTAGGAATCTTGCAGCCATGAGTTGGTGGCTAGAAGTGCACCTGTGGCAGAAGTCCAAGTGACACAGAGAAGGCCCAGGTAGCTTTGCCCAAAGCTAAACACTGGCTCAGAGTGGAAATTCCACACACGAAACAGAAACTTTTTAACAAATTTAATATTTTAACAATGAAAAAAAAATCCACTTCAGTTGCAGATGTTCAGAAGCCTTCTAAAGCAATGAGAACATTTACAAAGCAAGACTGAAGAAACCAGACTGGCTTGTTTTCAGTGTTTCTGTCTACATTGCCAAATAACTCTGCTCTTCAGCCCCGGGTGCCCCAACTGGTCCTGCATTGCCTGGCACTGCACACCACTGCATGCATTCTGGGCCCTCTCCATGTGAGTCAACATAAAAATGTATAAGGCAAAACTCTGCTGTGGGGATAACCTGTTATTGCAACTGGTTCAAATGGAGGCAGGAATCACACAAAACTGCAGCTTGCTGCACTGACACAGAAAACGGACACAGGCCTCGCACAGTGGAGACAAATCCAAGAGGTGATTCCAGCCTATGCCACATGCCCACAGGGAAGGCTTCAAAACATGTAACACATCCTTCTCCAAGAGGGAAAAAACCAAACCCCACACTAGCAGAGGCAGGTCAGGACCAGGATAAGGGCTCTGCAACACAGACAGTCCCAAGTAATACATCCATGAGTCATTCTGCACAGCAGTTCTGGGGGCAGTAAGAACAGCGTGGCCAGCAGGTCAGGGAGGTTCTTCTGCCCCCCTGCTCTGCCCTGGGGAGGCCCCACCTGGAGCACTGGGCAGTTCTGGGCTCCCCAGTTCAAGAAGGACAAGGAGCTACTGGAGAGAGTCCAGCACAGGGCACTGAGGTGATGAAGGGGCTGGAGCATCTGCCTGTGAGGAAAGGCTGAGAGAGCTGGGGCTGTTCAGCTGAGAGAGAAGGAGGCTGAGGGGGGATCTCATCAGTGCTGATCAATATCTACAGGGGGTGTCAGAAGGATGGGGCCAGACTCTTCCCAGTGGTGTCCTGGAACAGGACAAGGGGCAATGGGCACAAACTGGAGCACAGGAGGTTGAACCTGAATAGGAGAAAATCCTTCTTTATTCTGAGGGTACCAGAGCCCTGGAACAGGCTGCCCAGGGAGGTTGTGGAGTCTCCATCCCTGGAGACATTTCAAACCTGCCTGGATGTGTTCCTGTGGGATCTGCTCTACCAGGGGGGTTGGACTAGATGATCCCCAGAGGTGCCTTCCAACCCTCACCACTCTGTGATTCTGTGTGAACCAGGGAAAGATGCTTCTCTTCAGAGCTATCTGGAGTCTGTGCTCAGCCTGCAAAGGCTTTGGTACTCCTGCTGTGCAGTGGTGCTTAGGCACTTGGAAAGTGAAGAATATGAATAAAAACCCACACAGAAGCACAAACCAGAAGAACAGAGCAAGAAGTCGTATTAATTTGAAAAAGAAATAAAAATAAAAAACCCCACATAGAGATGTTATTTCAAAGAAAACTTCATGCAAGACCAGCAGCACTTGCATCTGATGTGCAAAAAGCTCCAAAAGAATTATTTATAAAGCCCAATGACACAGATTCTTCTACTGCTAAATGACAAAGTAAAAGAAGACATTTGCTTTGACAGCTTCACTGTCGGCCTTTGGCGTTCAAACTTTTGATGTCTGGAGTTTCATGCAAAAGATTTTTAGATTGCATTTTCTTCCCAGGATGTTATCACATGAAAAGAAAGAACCAAAGTTGAAAAGTTCAGACCTGTCAATTTTCCATCTGTGAAACTGTTGGGATGTAATTGAGCTCCAATAGCACGTTTACCTGCCAACGTGAGGGCAAGAGGTTCCCCACAAACTGCAAGGCAAGAAAAGCTGAAGAAAGTGCAACTAACCCCTAATCAAGGCATCAGATGTGTGCTCACTGTTTCTCACCCACTGTAGACAGCCTGGTCTATCCTGCAAACCCAAGTGAAACAAAGCCCACTTTTATCAATCCTTCAGCAGAAACTGAACATTTAACCCACAATCTGAAAGCAGAAAGAATCCAGTTAGGTGAATCATGGTGATACAATCTCTGTAGTAATAAAGATAATAACGTGTGAAGTTTCACCAGAAAAGGGAGTGAGGCTAGCAGGGTGTAGAAAGATGTTATTTATCACCATATTCCTGTCTACAGCCACACCACAGAAGTACAGCTATAAACTGCAGCTCCAGCACCGGAACAGAGGACTTGCTGACAACACCCTATTGGCAGTAAGACAAAATGTCTGTGGTCACCTCCAGCTCATTGGTTTGATTCTGACTTCTACCTGGATGGCTTCTCAGAAAGAAAACTCCAGATTTTGCAGAGATTATGTTGGGAAATTAAAATTATTCCCAGTGATTTGCAAGAAACCAATATTCTACTCCAGCTCATTATTGCAGTGCAAGGTGTGGATTCTGTTTATCCAAACGTAACCTGTGTGGATAAGCAGGAAATAAGGAAGAAATAAAAGTTTCTGGGAAGTAAGTGGAGCACGTGTTGGGAAGCACTATTGGCACAACAGACTGGCACAATGAACTACAGCAGGAGGCAAAGATTTCAGTCAAAGGCAAGTGGGGTCTAGAGATAATGAGGAACTATGGAAAAAAGTTGGACAGTGAGCCAGTTCACAGTCAAGCTGTAAATGATTCAGTCAGCAAAACTAAAAACTTTCCTTGAGGAGACAAGTGCACCCTTTCACCAACCTCAAATTGCTTCTAAGGTCCATTTCAGTGTCTGCAAGATGAACTGAACCATTACCTTCCAGCCAATCTTCTGCCTGCTGTGCCCTCCTCTGGGCCATCAGCCTGTTTCCCATGTTCCTCCGGCGCCTTGGCATCCCATCTCCTCTCTCTTCAGGGTGGGCCCGAGGCCTGGCCACTGCTGCTGCTGCTGCTGCCACATGCTGCTGGTGCTCCTCATCAGCTGCAAAAAGGAAACAGAACTGATCAGAGATTTGCCAGCTCTGCTTGCTGCAGCTCTTGTTTTGCCAGGCAGCTTTTGCAATGAGAAGTGCAACACCTGTGTTGTTTTCTAAGCGAGGGAAAACCTCCCCACTCTCATGTGGTTTCTTCCTGCATGGCAGGAGATCCATGCAAGTTGCTTTCCCATCATTAAGCAGGATCATGCACTGGTACGTTCATATTCATGCACAGTGCCCTGTGCAATGGAAACTTGATCCCAACAGCCTCTTTTGCAAGTGTATAGAGCTGTAGCTTTTTCTTTGATCTGACAAGAGTCCACATCCTTCACAAAACTCAAAGAAATCACCACACCACAAAGTAAAGACCCTTCCTCGAGTGCTCAAAAGTGTTCTTATTTAATCTAAACCAATAACCTGTTTTTCCCTTCAACCAGAAAATAATCCCCTTTATCTGGTAGGACTAGAAGTCTAATAATTTCTGAGTTACCAAAAGGCAAAGACCCAGAATTACTTTTTTTTTTTTTCCTCTTCTGAAGTATCTGGATTTTTAATTTTGATTTAATTTTGTACTTGTTTAACTTTCAAATAGATTCATTATAATTCAAACCTCCCAGCATGGATGTTGCAGAATGGAATATGGAAATCATTATACCTGACAGAAAACCTGAACAGCAAATAAAAGCCTACAAATTACAGCCTTAATATATACAGGGCCACTTCATTCTGCCAGCTGATTCACACTGCAGGTCTCCCGACACATGCAGGGGAAGACAGAACACCAAAGGTCACTGCAGCTCTCCCTGCCATCCTCTCTGCATATGCTGCAATTAGTAATTAAGATCTGACAAATGAGGGAGATCAGAACAGAGCAGCTGGGAGACACCATGGAAGCAAGGAACTGACCAGTGGGCTCATTTCAGAACTTCTCCATAGAAAACCCTCCCCTGGTGTTTTCTTGGGAGACCCTCACAACCCTGGTGCTGTCAGCTACAGCAGTCATGCTGAAACAATCAGATAATGGTAAAATATCATTCTCCTTGATACCTGCTTTGCATATTCATTTGATAAGTGCAACTGATACTTGTGTATGTTGTGACTTGCTTAATCCTGCAAAGTATCAACTACTACACCTTCACTACACTTCCAATAGCCTCACGGAAAGCTATAGAACTACTTAAATTCAGGACGTATTTTTTGTGCTTTGAGGGTTAGATTGTGGCCCAGCAAGAGTGCTCTCCATGCTCTGCCAAGTCTCCAGCATCCCCTGATCCAAACAATGCTTCCTAAAAAAACCCCTATTAGCATATCTCTGATCAGAAGATTCATGATGACTACATCTACCCGAGGATGAAAGGTGCACTTGCAGCTCATCTCAGTACATCTCAACTATCTTCAAAGCAGCTGCCTTGGGTACTGATAACAACCCAGCTTCAGAAGCTCCCAGCTCAGCACAGGCTGCAGGGCAGAGAGATCTGGGGGAACATTTGGCCACCAAAGCCAGTAGCAGCTCAGGGTTGCTGCAGCAACGATGTTGGCAGCCACCTTGCAAACTCCAGCACCCTGACATTTGGAACTGAGTCACTGAACTGTCACACTGCTGTCACCTTCTAGTCCCCATCCCCCTCTTTCACCTGTGGACGAAAACAGGTCTACAGGAAATGACAGAGCTCCAGGGATCCCACTGTTTTGCTTCAGGACTTGCCCACTCTGATTTATAGCATGGTAATACTGACTTTGAATGCTACAGAACGTGGCACAGGGAAGCACTGCACTGCAAAGACAAAGCAGTAGGTCACTTATGGGGACTCTACTAAAGGCCATAAACACTTAGTTTGCTAAAAGAATTATTTAGGCATTAGGAGAAAATTCTTGGCTGTAAGGGTGGTGAGACCCTGGCCCAGGTTGCCCAGGGAGGCTGTGGCTGCCCCATCCCTTTCAAAAGAAAGGGTGCTGAGGTGTGAATTGCAGTGTATCTCAAGAACTTATTTAGAGAAATTATGAATTTGTATAAAAATCATAGAATCGTTTGGGTTGGAAGGGACCTTCAAGACCATCCAGTTCCAACCCCCCTGCATGGGCAGGGACACCTCCCACCAACCCAGGTTGCTCCAAGCCCCATCCAACCTGCCCTTCAACACTGCCAGGGATGGGGCAGCCACAGCTTCTCTGGGCAACCTGGGCCAGGCTCTCAGCACCCTCACAGCAAAGAATTTCTTCCTAAGATCTAACCTGAATTTCCCCTCTTCCACTTTTAATCCATTACCCCTTGTCCTCTCTCTCCAAGCCCTTGTCAAAAGTCCCTCCCCAGCTCTCAGGCTCTGGAATGCTGCTGTGAGGCAGCCCAGCAAGACACAACTCCTAGCTCTTGAAGTCCCCTGTTCCACACCGATGCAGAGAGAGCTCCACCTGCTGCACCCTTACACGTTTGTGGTGCCTCCCACCTCACTTGGCAGCATCCAGCATCTTCTCCCTTCGTGCCAACCTAAGCTGGGAAATTCAAGGAGAAAATTGTTCAAACAGCAACAGGTGGAAGCATGTCTGGCTTCCCTGGGGAGCTGCCTCTGCCTAGGAGAGCTCACCACATCAGGGCTTGTTCACAAACAGATATGCCAACCACGTATAAAAGCCAGGGTTGGGTTTTCCCCCCCCCCTGTTCCCAGCAGCACAAGTCCAGGCATGATCCTGCTGGAACCACTGTGCTTGCTCCAAATGACCTTTGAAAGGAAAAACAAAGTTACAGGATTTACCTCTTCTCATCCTTAGCTCCCTTCATTACTAAGATAGGAAAGTCTTGACCATCTGAAAAGGATAGTTCCCCAGCAGAGTGTGGAAAGAAAAGCTCTGCCCCTGTTCCCAAGCATTAAAAAGTGAGAGCTACCAACCACTCCTCTGGGCCAAGCATCCCAAGGTTTCAAATCCTTTCCATGAGATGACACAGATTTACTGGCAAAACTGCAGCATTTTCCACACAAGGAACATGAAAGGAAATCCCTGTTTAAGACCAAAGTTTGCAGGTGCTAAATACACCAATGGTTTTGAAAACTAATTTCTGCTGTGTAAGGAGAAAAATATCATCCCCACAACTTCAAACTCTGTAAAGGATTTTATAACGACACAAACCAGCACACTGAGGTAGAAATTATCTCAAAAGCTCAATGAAAAAAAGCAAGACCAATGTGGAAGTGTCAAAAAGATGTTACTAAAAAGAAAAAAAAGAGGCTTCAAAAAGATTAAGTTACCCTGAATGCAACCCAACTTTAACCAAGCTGCTCAAAACCAGTATTAAACCTTCTTGAGAATTCAAATGTTTGGGCTTCAAGTTAGTTAAAACTTTGTACACTTAAAAAGAAAAGAAGAATAAACCCTCCCAAGCCCCACAGCCTGATTTACCTATGTCAGGATACAAGTAAAGTTGAGGAAATTACATCTTTCCAGCAGCCTCATTTCCCTAGGACACACATCACTCCCTTTTACCAAAAGCTCAAACTCACTAAGAATCTGATGACATTTCATCAGTTTCCAAGCTGTTGGGAAAGGAGGATTTACATGAGGTCTGTACATGAAAAAGTGTAAGAGAAACGTGTTGGAAAATGTAATTACTGTCAGCAAAGGCTGCTTTGAACACAAGGTCCTTACCAGTACATGCTCTTGCACTGGGATGACTGTGACCATACAGGAGGATTTTTTTGCTGTTGCAAAGAAATATAATCAAAGCTACCTTTTCCCTCAAAAATACCAAAACATACCCCAACCTCCAAACATCCCAAATCGTGGAAGCTGATGTTGTTACCTCGACAAACTCCGGTGGTTGCCCTGCCTGCCTGAACACCTGAACTGGAGACCCCAACAACCTCCCTTCAAACCAGGCATCCCGGGGGGGGGAGGGAATCACCAGGGATCCCAGGGGCAGGAATCTCCAGGGATCCCAAGGGAAACCCCTTCCCCCCCAAGGCGAAGGCCTAAACCCAAGCGCTTCACTCCCCCCCACACCCTGCGGTTACCATGGA